TTGCATAAAAAGAAAAATCAGTTCGTTTGGGCCAACCACGTACATAGCAGATTATTTTTGCATTTTAAAAATGATACTAGAGCGTTCGAGCTGGCAGTGCATTTTAGTGAAGTTATTTACGAAGTTATTGTAGGATCTTTAGAAAACTCACCTATTCAAAGACAGATGAATTATACTTCTGTGTTTTTATATTCCATTTCGGAAGGGTACTATGATTTGAAAGAGATGATCACTTCCAATTAATCGAAACAATTTTTTCAGCTCCTTCACAACTCCAAAATTCTCGCGAGCTCACTGCAGCGGCGGGTCTCGCCCAATTTCATGCCATATTTTGTCGCTGCGGTGGTGAGCAAGCTGTTGCGGTTGTTATTTGCTACTCGTCTACTCATCTATCCATCTACAGATCTACGCACCTGCGAAATCACGCACTAATACTTCAGGTTTGCTATTTGTAGTTGCAAGGCTGCTTAGAGGTTCATGGGCATTCCGTATTAGGTACTGGAGGTGTTCACAGTGACCTCGGTTACATTCTCTCTCCAGATGCCGGTAAGCTTACGCACGGGAAAATTATGAGCACATAGCAGTAATGTTGGTAAGCATCGATTGCGACAAACCGACAATAGCTTTATTGAAGCATCGTGTGATTGTAATCATTTCAATAAAATGCCAGTAAATTTGCACGACACTTTGTCCCTACCAGCTCTGCAGTGGTGCTTTCATCAGCAATATCACTCTTTCACACGCTGGAAGCTGGTTGAACCACGGTGAGTCGTGAGATATGAGCTAGCTCACCTTGCTTTGGGGCGAAGGTTCTGGATGAGTAAAGCTTGCATTGGAAGCGCATTTCACCGTCACACGCCAAGTATTTCTCGCGCACGATTACCGTAATGGTCTTGCGCTTAAGCATCGAGCTGTGCCTTGCCAGGATTTTGATCAATTTGCATGTAATTAATGGTTTCAGCTGTTCTCTTTCAAAGTATATGCAGAACTGACACCGAACAGAGCTCACTGCACCACCAGTGTCTCTCATCATGATCTTCAGACCATATTAAAGCGCGTGGGCAGGCTAGAACGGTGTCTTCCGCGAGGGAGGTTCACTGGAGACGCTTGGCTTCAGCCGTCGCATCTTTTGTAAGTTGGTATTTCGAAAATGAAAGGTATTAATTTTTTTAATAATCGGCAAAGCAATGAGGCGAAAAAATTGACGAATATCTTTTGACAAGGGGGTTTCAGTTTTAAGACCTACCGCGAATATTTCTGTGATCACGGCAGCTGGGTTGTCAAGGCTCTCCTGTCATTCTAAATACCCCCAAGAAAACATGCCCCGTTGGACTTCCAATAGCTTAAAGCTGGCGTGCCGGACATCATCTTCCAACTTGTCATGGCGAGACGGATACACAAAATTAAATCACCGACGATGACGTGGACCAACAAGATGCATCTAGTGGATCTAGCAACAATATGAAGCGCTCTGTACGGTGCGTGCTACTCCGTATCACGGGTAAATGTTTTGCGCTCCTCTGCACACCGTAGCTTGGTGTGCGGACTTGGCAACGCGACGTTCGGTTCCTTTACTCGCGTCAGCAAGGCAGCGTTTAGCATCCTGTTGAATATCATTTGTGATAAAGCTGTGTGTTGCTTAAGCAGCCGAGCGGAAAGGAGCCCTAAGCCTGACATGGCGCCTGTTTTTTTTTTCTGCGTCGGCTTCGCCTGCTTGCTCTTCTTCAATGGAGATACTGGCTGGAGAGGTCTTCTCTGGTGGTGAGAATTCTTCGACCTGAGCGATCTGTTGCGTACTCATGACTCGAGTAAACCTTACTCCTCGCGTAGCGTTTCCTTTTGTATATTACAACAAGCTGCCCGTATATCACAGGGATATTTTTTTTTTTCCTTTTAAAAATGGGGGTTATCGTTTTACGCGCGGGGGTGAGACAAGGAACAGCCCGAAAAGGAACCCCAAGGAATGAAGAGCAGCGAGGGGAGCTAATTCCCAAAATTCGATGAAAATTTAAACTGAAACTCCTTTATGGCACGGTTTGATGGCTAACGTAATTCACAGAGAAGATGTAACGTCGTAAACTGGAGCATCCAAGTCAAATTGTAAAAAAAAGGTTGAGGGTGTAAGAAGTCCAGATGTAGCCATTACAATGATTATTTCATGTTTACAAGCATAGAATGGCAACAACTGCTACTACTATGCTGCATCTTCGCCGTGATTTCTGGTATTGGCATCGCCCCACCAGTCCACCTGTCTAAACCGATAAATCAAAATTATTACCCTCATCGCAAATTATCTCCTAGCAGATATGTTTATGGTACAAGGCCCGCAGCAATTAAATACCTGTCGTACAAATGAGAAAAATGGTATAAGAGCACCTCTTAAGCATTTTGTACCTACTTTTTCTGTGGGTCCCATTTTTCACTCTTGAATTAATCCTTATTGGACTGCACGTACTACTACATGGCACTCCCAATGAAAAATTACCTCGGTGTCGCTTTGGCGGATGATACCGCCACTACTGAGCTCAGCTCTAACTAAGAGGATGATAGAAAGCATTTTTATTGACGAGAACGTGCACGAGCGTGTTACGGCCTCAATCAGTAGTGGCTGTCAGAGTTAAAACTAAGCGGCGACTTTAAGAAGCCTTTATTGATCAATCATCATACAGGATTTGAGGCTATTTTGGTGTGCGCCACATCTCTTAAATTCTTAGAGATCTTACTCATGCGTTTTTCTTCCATAAGATTTCTTAAAAAAGAGAACCTCCATCTGAATTAAATTTTAAAAGAGGGTTCTGACGATGTTTTGTCCGATGTGGCTGTCGGGTCTGTCTTGGAAACAGGCTTGTTTCCAACTCTGACAACCTCTAATACCGACTTTTGCGAAGAATGATGTCTAGAAAGCGAGGCCGAAGAGATACAAGATGTTGTGGCTCCTTTGCACAGATTACCCCTTTTGAGCGCAATCGGAGCATTCGAACTGCCTTGAAGTTTACTCATGATGATAGACATTACAGTGCGTCGCCGAGAAACTGATCTACGGCTAAGGTTTATATAGTACTTACCTCTCGTTGGGAATGTTTGCCGTGCATCTTGGGTGCTCTGTGTGGTGTTTCGACGGCGACGGTCGTCCGATATCGTCCGCAGATTAAGCGTGGTGCTTTCTCGGCAAAGCCACGTGGAGGTCGCTTAAATCTGAGCGCAAACAAGATATGTAATGGCTGGCTGGTACGATGATTTCGCTCGTTTGCTGCTTCCTTTTTGGACGTGGTGCCTGTTCACGTGTGCACGCATTAGATTGTCAGCGGTGCTGTGCGCAAGCAGCTAATGTCGTCGCTTCGAGTGGAATCAGAGTTGCCCCAGCTGTCTAAAGAGCCGTTTCGTGTGTCCAGAGTGTTGAAGGAAGCCAATACGTGCTGGAACTCCAACCTGAAGTTCCGCGAAGCAATGTTTGTGACAACTTCAAATAGTGAGCACTTGAGAAGTTTGGGGATGGTGAAGTACGGGGCAGCGATGAAGGCTTTGCGTGTCGCTGCCACTCTTTTAAGCATGGCGAGTATAGTACCATCCCCGCGGTATCTGGTGGTCCTGAGCACGAAGACGTCTTGAGTGATGCAGATATGAACAAGACTAGTGGCGTGAATCACCAGACTACAGACAGTGAAGTGGTGACCGAGCCGACGGAAGTGGTGCAAGTTATTCCGTCAAGACAAGTGGATACCATAAGTCAAAGTGTGGCGTGTGCTTCTTCGGTGGGGAGCACTCGAGTTTGAGCAGACCAGTCGACAGTTGGGAACGAGACGGGCACAGGTGGTGGTACAGTCGGTGACGACTTGGTCTCCGTGGGAAACGAAACGGGCACAGGTGATGACGAGTTGGTCTTAGTTAAGGATGAGTCGGGCAGAGGTCATGACGAGTGGGAACCGGGCAGGCAGAGATTGTTACGGATGACGAAAAGGTTAGCATTGAAAGCAAGACATCTCACAAAAATGACGATCACAGCTCGACGCTGGCTCCTGCAAACTTGAACGATGATTTTCAAATCATGAGTCCTCTAAAAACCAAGGGACACCCAAAGCAAAGGCACGGTATGTCGCAGCAAAACGAAGCCAGGCGATCACAATAGTACAGGTAGACTTGGACATGCACGAACGCCAAATGAGTCTAACTGACAGTTTATGAACTACTGGAATCCAGTCTGGATGGCATATTTCCATCTTCAAGTCGACACACGAGAAGCTGCTGCAGTTCAAGGAGCTCCTGTTCACCACTTAGATGAGGTCTTCCATCGCTCATGCGATAGCGAAGCTCTCCCACAGACCACTGATGCGACCAGAAGATGTGTTGCGAATCTTCCCCATGCAGTTAATCAACAAGTGTACCTCCAAGGTCTCAGCCTACCGAGCAAAAAAGGAGAACGTTGGAGATGCAGCTGGCGCTGGAGATCGTTGGCGTTGGAGTGTTGGCGAACTCTACGGTATTGCCTATGCGAAAGTTGCACACAACAGTAAAAACCGTCGAGAATATCAAAAGAGCTGGATTAATCGATATACTTCACGCACCACGGGAGCTCTAGCTTCTACGTCGAGGAAGACACCGCTATACCTTAGCTGCTGGAAGATCTGCCAATTGTGTCGAGCGAGTATGTAGACACGGCGAACCTGGCTTCAAATGATACCTTATCGCCCAAGTCATGTACATAATCAACACAAACTATTTGGTGCGGATCCTAGAGTTAGAGTGATCGACTCGTCTTACATTATAATTTTGAATGGAGCTGTAACGATAGACAGCAGATATTTTAAACGGGCGTTGGCTGGATCCACGAAGAAGATGAAAGTGCTGTTTTCAATCAACTGCAAGAATAGGCGTGTTTTGACTGCTGACCACTCAGCCTTCGTGTCACGCACGGAGAAACAGCTCATCCAGCATAACGAAACAACCACTGGTGCGCTGTGCTAGCGGATTTAGAGAAGGACAGAGTGTACCTCTACGATTCGATGGCGTCCTCCTTCAGTGATATTGTCCGTGCCGTGGCTCAGCAGATGATCGTGATGCTGCCAGACGGAGTCAAACCTAGCACTTGCCTGGTGCATCACGATCCGGAGCTTGGCGTCCAGAGCAACAGCTACAACTGCGGCGTGTACGTCCTGCTGGAATTCGAGATGTTCTGTGGGTCAGAGCCGCTCGGCCACCTCGCCAAAAAGACTCTGCAACGCATGCGCCACCGCTACTTGCGCATGCGTATGAAAGAATAAGGACGTAGCAGTAGCTATGTCACGGAAATTGTTGCATCGAGCTAAGTTTGCTAAAGTATAAGCTTGATAATGTCTTTAGAAATTAAAAAGAAATCCCAGCAAAAAACTTCTCCCTCTTTGAACTCTGGTGCTGTTGGTGTCGGGCCACCCCGGCTCTTCGGCATCTCCCGGATATACGCGAGTAACATATACTCTTACGCCGGTTGTCTTGAGCTGGGTGCTGTAGTTGGTACAGGACGGGGTCCGACGATCACAGCTGGGTACAGGTTTGGAGTCGAAATCACGTCGTGCTCCGTCCCATGTGCACAATGTGTATGCAGCAGCGAGTGCCTTGTATTTTTGTGCTGTCTCGTAGTCTCAACTACGTGTGCAATTGCAGGACGAAGCGTCCACCGCCAAAACCCATATAAAATGGTTTAACCAGATTAATCGGTAATCTAAAATAAACGATTTAATGCGCACAAAAGCAGTTGCTGGAAAACGAGCTTAGTGATGTTCAGTCAGGTGCTTAATGACATTGCAACTTTAAAGTCGGGTTCGAATTGTTAGATGAAGACCAAAAAGTGGTCTCACCAATCGAGATTAATCTTTAATGCTCGATTTTTATCTTCCAAACTGCGACGTGATAGAGCTCGGTAAGCCGGTTTATTAGGCTCGGACGTTTCAAGTACCAGTATAAGAACTCGGTACATCGGCTTTCTGTCACTTTTGTGCTTCAATAAAGTAGATGTTGTACAGGGTGCATGAGCAGTTAGAGTCGCTCGCTGTTTTTGTTTTTCGTGAACGGCGGTTTCGTTCTGGCCACGTTTGGAAGGGGAACACCGATCTTTCAACGAAATTTCGAAGCAAGATCGAAATGAATTTCACTTGAAAACTTTCCGCAATTCTATCTTCCAGACTCATCGTTGCACAACGAATCTCAGTCTTGTAGGCCACAGAAGTTCTGTGACTTCCAAGACTCCAGAATATCAAATACTGGAGTAAATGTACTATAATACGATCTTGCAATTTAAGCATCCGCCTGTACTCACTCACCGACTGCGACCAGGCCAACGCGGTGGTGCCCGCTGCCATCGAGGCAGGCCTCAAGATCGAGTTGGGCATGTGGGTGGACTCGTCCGCGTCCAGCTTTGAAACCGAGAAGGCCGCGTTCAAGACGCTGCTGGATACCGGTATCGTGCAAAGCGAGCACATCGTGGGAATCCACGTGAGCAGTGAGGCCGTGTACCGTAAAGACATTACGGTGGATGTAGCCATCTCCCATCTAGAGGAGATCCGTACGCTGTGCAAGGCCAACTCGGGCGCTGCCGGCATCCCGCTCACCATTGCCGACATCGGAGACACGTACTCGGCGTACCCGCAATTGATCGAGGCCGTCGACTACGTGTCGGCCAACTACTTTCCTTTCTGGGAGAAGACTGACATTGACGTTGCCGCCGACTCGTTCTACAAGCGTTTCTCGGCGCTTGTGGCGACCGCCAGCACGTACAACAAGGAGGTGATCATTGGAGAGACGGGGTGGGCTTCGGACGGCGTTGGCGCTGGCGCCAGCCCTGCTACCGCTGCCAACGCCGCCAAGTTCTTTTACAACTTTTACACGCTCGCCACCGAGAAGAAGCTCACGTACTACTACTTTTCGGCCTTTGACGAGCCTTGGAAGCTCCCTACGCTCGAGGCCAACGAGACGGTGGAGGCGTACTTCGGACTGTTCACGCACGAGGGCGTTCTTAAGGACGCCGTCGCGGCTAAGTTCGACAACGCAACGTCGTCCTCGGTGGACGGCAGCAACTCGGGAACGACCACGCTGGTCGGCAGCACCACCACTACCGACGGCGATAACGCCACGCCCAACGAGACGACATCGGATGATGCTACGCAGGACGTGACCACCTCGGGGGACGTCGAGGACAACACGTCCACCTCGATGACCACCACACAGTCGCACAACGACTGTGCCATGTAAAACACTGGAGCCTGCCAAGCCTACAGTAGACGAAAATGTAAGGGCAAAGAGCGCTTCTTGTGGAGTACTTAAGTTCTTGTACTCAAGAATGGAAAGTGAACTGGAAAAGTATTTCGAACTACAGCGATGCAAATACGTTTTTTAAATGTTCTTTTCTTCATGTGAGGCAGCGAATACGGCTCAAGCCGGCTCGTCATATATGAAGCCCTGAGCCAGATTTAAATAAAATTCCAGTACTGTATCGGATACCAGTCTCATAATGTGACTCACACTTCCCATAATCAGTCCTATCCCAAAGCGCAAAGTGAGGGACAAAAGACGGATTGTTATTGCATCTACGGGCAACGCAGACGGTTGCCTCCTAAAAATAATTTCACGGTTTTAGAAAGGATACTAAAGCAGACTACTGATCCTTTTTGATACAAGAAAATCCATTTATGTATTAAGATATGGAGGAGAGAGCTAGGTGGTCCACCCTACTTTTGAGTACCGTTAGAAGGAAATTGTTTAGAGAAAAACACACCGATCTCGTCCATGCTAAAAAATGTTTTGCAGCTCGTACTTCACGCTGCAGGTCGATGATCGAGACGTCCCCGGCGGATCTACCCTCATCTTGCCCTTAATGCTGCCGATCCCACGCCGAAGGCTGAACGTGTAAAGCTGCATCTATGCCATGACCTGACGGCTATCTCGGAAATTGTCTAGTTCCGCTTCAGTAGCTAGACTTCTCTTTGAGACGGCCGCTGCGGACAAGATTGCATGTAACGGGGTGGATGGCAGTATGGATGTTCGTGCGGACGCTGTTGGCATGCTCGGTTTTGAGGATGTACCATTTAGAAGGTACACTTGTCCAAAGTCACCCCATATAACTTAGATTGAAATAAAATGTTGGCTTCGCCCTGCGGTATGACTACGGAAGAGTTCTTCTGTACCGGTATTTCAGTCACTTTCGAAAAGTTGACGCTCCTTCTGCAACTTACGAAATGTTGCGATACCGTTTTTAAAATTGATCATTTCACAGCACTTAATTTCTAGTTAGAAAAACAGGATGCTGCTCAAGCAGCGTGTGTGGGCCGGCCGCATCCCCGTCGTGTTCTCTCTCGACCCCAATGAGGTCACAACCCTACATGCACCGCGTCCATTCTACGTGAGTCCCTGTACCCCATAACCCAGCACCGATGCGAAACTAATAACCTATGTCCAGGCCATGGTGCCCCGAATGAGCTACTTGGTGTCCCAAACCCGCGACGTGGTCGACTATTTCCGGGACGCAGCTCCGCCCATGTCTGCTATACAAGGCGCCTCTATCTGGTTCGAGGCTAAGGGCGCTCCGCTACACTGGCATCTACCTTTCGGCCTACTCAGGGACCTATTGTGTGGCCCAGGCGTTGACGGCGACGCCGACCTGCCCTGGGCAATCACAGTGCATTTTTTAAACTTCCCCAAGGACGTTCTATTACCTTGCGATAACGAACAGAGCGTCGAATCGCACTTTATGCACAGTCTAAAGCAAGCAACATTCCTGCGAATGGGATCCACGAAGGTCGTAATGGCGTTGCCTGAAGCGCAACAGACCCAAATTTGGACCAGTATATCACAGAGTACGCTGAAGAAATGGATACAACAAACGTGAAGTGACGACTAATAAGGTGGTGATTTGGTAGATGACTATGAGAGCTATCGGCAAGCTACATATGAATTGCATTTGGACGGAGGTGTGGATGCCTCGGCGTTGCGACATCTTCCACTGCGAGTGCATCTTGACAACGCACCCGCGATTCAAATGCCAATTTCTCCATTGCAAAACGGTGCGTTTGCAGCTGAATGCGAATATTTCCCTGGAATATTTGATTAAGTTGTTGTTGCCGCAAAATGTTTAGGCCGTGAAAAAACGTTGCTGGAAGTGCTGAATTATTTGTTGCCGGACTTGTTTCCGTCTGCCACATTTGACGCCTCGCCACGACCAGAAACAGGAGAATTTCAGCTTTTAGTGCACGGAATCCCCGTCCCTGCCGACGTATCTATCGTTGAGCTGTACAGGAACTTCGCGTACGCCGACGGCTTCCTCTACGTGGCCCTGTCGTCAAAGTCCTGATAGACCGTAAAGTTGCCGATTTTTTGCCAAAAAGATTGTGTAAGTTCACATTCGGTTTAATAGGTTTCACTATTCTATTTTCAAGTTTTGTCAAAGAATTCACACAAAATCTCCCATTCTCAGAAACGAACTCTTTTTCCTTAATGCAGGGAGGAACTCCCCATGACGACACGGCAGCTCGTCTGGCGTCCAACGTAGAGCCTCTACTGGCAGAAACGCGTGCACATCTGCTGCATAAGGAACCTGACCGTGCGCGTGCGAGTTTCCTACGTCTGCCTGAGCTGGAATCACGTCGAAAAGCGTATCTAGAGGCGACACTACGCGATTTCTACGCCGCTGGATTGTTCGACATCCCTGTGCTGCTTACGTTTCTGGAAGCTCTTCCTAGCTGGCATTGGACACTAGATGGTTGCGCTGTACTGCACAACGTAAGTTCCGCGTTGCGAGCACCCAGTAGTGGCGCCGGGGGAGGTGGCAACGCTCTCAGAGCGCTCGAAGTGCGACAACGCAAGTTCCCACAGCTACCATTAGCATTTTTCCTACTTAAACTCATGAGCCACTTGGAAGGAAGTGCTCGCGTACGTGCTGAGAGCTACTGGTACGCGTGGGTGAGTCCTACTCTGCGTGCAGTGGCCAGTGGACAGCCACTCGAACTCACGATTCTCTCGAGAACTGGCCGTAGCGAGTACCAACAGGGAGATGCAAGTAAAGAAGAGCTACTGTATGCACCTGGCAATGCCGGAACGTTTGACAACGACCGTCGTAACGCGTTGTGTTGGGTCGGGGAAGAGAGTGACAATGACATGGCTACATGGCCTGACGACAAAGACCGCACCAAGGCGCAATGGAGACTCATCCCTTCGGACGTGCACACAGACACGTTTCTCCTCCAAAGTGTGCGGTTCGAAGAGTATTTGTACGCTGCGGACTATGCCAAATTCAAGAAAGACACTCGAGGCAAAAGCAGGAGTCGCGTCTTTACGTGGCGGAAACAAGGCGAAGCGGCGGGACCTGCGGGCAAGTGGCAGTTGGTGTCTTTGAGTGTGGAAGAGAGAGATGTGTGTGCCCTGTATAATCCGTACCAGCGCGAGTTTTTGTATTCCCCCACCGCGGATTTAATGGACAGTAAGAGACGTCACGTGTTGACGCGAGCAGCACCCGAAGGCGCGCGGGAGGCGTCTGCGACCGAAGGAGGAGCCATGTGGTGTGCGTGGCGCATCGCTCCGGCGCAGCAATCGTCCATGGAGCGAGGCGTGGAGGCCTTTTTCGCCAAGAAGTACCCCGTCGCAGTCGAGCAACTCACGCAGGCTCTGGCCGACTTGCCAGACAACACGGAGCACGTGAAATGCTTTGCGTATCGTATGACGGCGAACTTGCGTCTGCGTCGCTTCGACCTGGTGGCGCCGGATTTCCAAGCCATCCAGACGCTTGGAGGCGACAAGGCTGCGATCTTCCATGGCCTGGCGCACCTGTGGGAAGAGAACGCCAGTTACCTCGCTGCGATGGCCTCGTCGTCTCCGGAGCTGCAGATCCAGGCCATGGAGATCTCGACGTCTCCCGAGAACCCCTTCTTCATGCGCCACCAAGTGTCCAAAGGCGACGACTATTTCGTTCGCAGAGACTTCCAAGCGGCCATTGTGTGCTACCAGGAAGCGGCGACGTGCGCGTCCTCGGACACGAGCGTGGAAGACCGCGAGACGACACGACAGCGTGTCCGTGCGTATGTGTCGTGTGCCAAGTGTTTCTTCGCCCTGGACGAGAGTGCGAACGCGTGGCAATATTTGAGTATCGCACACGACATCACGGACGTGTCGGTGGAAGGCGAGGCGGCCATTTTACTCTGGAAAGGCAAGTGTCGTCGAGCGCAGAAATCCTACGACGAGGCGCTGGAACTGCTAGAGAAAGCGTTCGATCGAGCGACGGCGGCGTCGGCAGCTTCTGTGGCGGGTGCGCCCATGTCTGCGGCGGTTCTGAAGCGCTCTATCTTGATGGAGATGAAGGTGGTGGGGCTGTTGAGACAGGGCGTCTACGATACGTTGTTGGCTACGGGCGAGAGTGGAGTTGCAGCTCAAGGGAAGAGCACGACGGAAGACAAGGAGCCGGTGACTGGCGGAGACGCGGAGAAAACACTGACGCAAATGATGGAAATGTTCCACTGTCCCTTGAGTCTAGAGCTCATGGACGACCCCGTGACGACTCCCGACGGCAACACGTACGAGCGCTCGATGATCGAGCAGCATCTCGAAGTGAACGGCTGCTTCGACCCGTTGACGCGAGCGCCACTGACCAAGTCACAACTCCACCCGAACCGAGCTCTGAAGCAACTCATGGAGACGCTGCTTAGTGACCATCGGCTCGGACTGCTCCTGGCTTCGTGCTCGACCTAGAAGATTTCTTAACATGAAAAATGCAACTCATTTTTTTCTCTGCGTAATATGTGGACGTGTTTTTGACAAATTTATGATTACCACGTTTGTAAGAATTGGCAAGTGAAAAATTGGTTGAAGCTGCAAGTATAAAATTGCCTTGTTAGCTGAAGTGGTAAAGTTCACTTCAACGTATCAGGATATTTGCGAATCGTAACGTGATCAAATGGTGGACGCGTGGGTTAGGGACCTGGACATGGAGATCGACAAGTGTGACGTCGGATATCTCATGTTGGTGCCTCATGCAGGCCAAACAATCTGCGGGCATTTGAGTTCTCTCTAGTCGTCTGGGTTTTGACTTAAAATCAAAACTTTTGCGTGTCAACCAGCGAAATATCCAAGCAGCTTGCGGCCCAGGTCAACCCCTCACTTGATCGTTGATCGTCGAGGCACACGCGGCAGCAAATCCGTTGCCCGAATGCTGTTACAAACAGGGGCGAGGTGCTAGGCCAAGACACCTCTGTCTCATGGCGATTCGAGACGAACATTGGGTGTGTGGCTAAGCCTTTGGCTGCTACGCTCTGCCACTCAAGTTGAGTTGAGTCTCAATCACCCATGCTTATTTTTCCAGGGGTCAGCGCACTTGCGTGGATGTTCCACGATACAAGCGGCTGCAACAATCTACAACTGCCCCAAAGGTCTTGAATCTGGGTCAAGTTGCACAGACGGGTCGAGAAATACGTGATAATCAAACATAAAACTCTGAAAAACAACAATACGAAAGTTCTCGCCTGTGCACAAATCGAAAATTTGGATATCGAGAGCAGTCATTTTACCGGCCGGTACTGTAGCTGCCTCTAGCTCACATAAAACACACTTTAAAATTACGATGCTTATTTACGTACTCCAGCCCATTTTTTCCATGTTACACCCATTTATTCCTTCTAATTTCCGATTAAAACCTACCCCTTTTAGACGTCGCATCTCAAATCTCTTTATATGAAACGTTTGGCGGGACCCCGGGGTCCCACCGGGACCCCGGTAACCCCATCAGAAACCGGTATCATTTTTTAGTTGATTTGAAATTAGTATGACTGAACTTGAAGTACTTATTCTTTCTGTTGTGTGTGTGACGTGATGGAAGGTTGGTTACTGCGTGGCTTTGCTGAAGTGCTTGTCTTCTTTTTTGTTGCCACTCGCTTCCATCTTGCCTTGTATTCATTTGATCCCAGTCGTTACGAATCTTCTTATCGGTATCTTCTCCTAGCTTTTCACATACACGTATATACGCGGTCTCTTTCCTGTCGACTCGTTTTGCACGCTTTCGAGGCGGGACGGTTGAACGTGAGCCGCCAGACGCCCGAGACGACATTTTCCGCAGCGACACCCGATCGAAACTGAAGATTGTGTCACAAGTCGCGAACTGCCCAAAATAACACAATACCGAGCATATTTTATGCGGGACCCCGGGGTCCCGCCAAACGTTTCATGTTAATAATAAATCCAAATAGTTCGCTTTCTATTCTAGTACACTTACTACAAATTGAGCTGTTATTTATCAAATTTCAACTCATGCCATCACTTATCCCAGGGTTTTCAATGACGCTATTTTTGCAGTATCCAATCAGTTCATTCACGCATCTTCTTCGTGGCACAGAGGTCCCTCCTACCAGATGAAGTTGCTGGCCCCCTTAACCTCCTCGATAGTGGTGTGTCGCTCACACCTGGATATCGCTGCATTGCCTCACATCGCCGAGGCCATCAGCGCGTTCCTCGATTGCTCTGTGCACTGGTCGCTCCCCGACGCGTGCGGCTTCGCCTTTCAGGATGGCGCCCTGCGACTCGTACGACGCGTCACAATACACCAATCGATTCTCGAGACGAAAGCCGGTGAAATACTACACCAACACCCGAAATCCCGCGCTTTCAAGTCGAAAATTCATCGAACTGAGGCAACTTTGGTGCTCCGTCGAAAGGAAGATCCTTTCTACCGCCAAAAGCTCTTCACACTCGGAATGGCACGCGCAGCTGCACGCGGGGACGTGAGCGTAATGCAGTGGCTTGTACGGGAATTCCCTGGTTGCTACGTGACAGTTGCAGTCGAAGAAGCAGCCAAGAATGGCCATCTAAAGGTACTACAATGGCTACATCGGAACAGCCGAGTGGGCCACATACGAGACGAAGGGGGCGGGAGAAATAGCACAGGACTGGACGTGTTCTGGGGCGCCAAGGAGTTGTATTACGCTGGGCTAAATGGCCATTTGAGGGTGGTGCAATGGCTACAGGAGCGTACAAACCCGACGCCGACGCATATGTTCTTCGTGACACTCGAGGAAGCAGCCAAGAACGGAGATCTGGCCATGGTGAAGTGGCTCTGTAATGTTAGAGGGGAATGGTCGCCCTATGCGGCGGTATTGGCAGCCAGTGGTGGGCATTTGGACGTTCTGAAGTGGCTGAAAAGTAACATTTTCAGTTCCTCGCCGTCTGCAAACATGGACGATGCAGCGGCGAATGGACATTTGCATGTGCTGAAATGGCTACAGTTGAACTCGGGGTTTGCTACCTCTGCAGCCATGAATAAAGCTGCTGGAAATGGACACATTGAGATTGTCAAGTGGCTTCAAAACACGCGACGAGAAGGATGTACCACTGTAGCCATGGATCGAGCTGCTGCGAATGGCTACATTGAAATTGTCAAATGGCTACAGTCTAATCGGGAAGAAGGATGTACCAAAGCGGCGATGGACGAGGCAGCGACTCATGGACATCTTAATATTGTGCAATGGCTGGAGAGTAACCGAGAGGAAGGATGTACCCTACGTGCGATGGACGGCGCTGCGATGAACGGACACCTAGAAGCTGTCAAATGGCTACATCAACACCGGAAAGAAGGCTGCACAACAGCAGCGATGGATGGTGCAGCACGAGCAAACCATCTTCAGGTACTTAAGTGGCTACAGACGAACCGTAAAGAGGGTTGTACGCTTGCAGCCATGAACCTTGCCGCTCGCAATGGGCACTTGGAGGTGGTGAAATGGCTACATCGTCATCGTAAAGAAGGATGTACAAAGGATGCGATGGATCAAGCTGCAGCTCACGGTCACTTACACATCGTACAATGGCTACACAAGAATCGTAAGGAAGGTTGCACGTTCAACGCGATGGACCGTGCAGCGGGTGCAGGACATCTGCACGTTGTGAAATGGCTACATGAAAATCGAGCCGAAGGTTGCACCAAGGCAGCGATGGACAACGCAGCAGCCAGAGGCCAATTGAAGGTGGTGCAATGGCTACATGCAAACCGAAGTGAAGGATGCACTGGCGTCGCGATGGACGGAGCCGCGTCCAGTGGACATTTTGATGTTCTGTTAACTTTGCATAGTGAGCGGCTCGAGGGCTGCACCGCGAAGGCGTTTGTGAACGCGACGACTGCAGACGAGCTGGAGATTCTGCAGTGGCTTTTCGAGCATTATCGGGAGCAATTTGGCTACGATCGTCTGCAGCTTTTTGCCGTGGGGAAGTTTTATACGCTTCAGTGGCTCAAACGCGAGTCAATTCTCGAAGATCTTCCCGAGAGCGAGCGCCACTTTGAGTAACTTGTGTCGTTTTGGTATGGACAAGTAAAAAGGTATTTATTTGTTAGGGAAAAAAGTTTGTCAAATGACACAATTATCAGCCAATTTAACTGTTCTGTAGTTGTTATAAAGGATTTCAGAGTATCGTTGGTAGTACCACACCTTTTTGTGCGTCCAACTTCGTAGTAATCTGCAATCAAACTCGAGAGTCGCAAATTTCTATCTGTCAAAGTTTTACAAATATTGATTTAGCAACTTCAATTCTGTATTCAAAGTCGGAAATAACGCAATCAATGTCGTGTGGCGCTAAAACGAGAGGCCCCGGATAACTCCCGCCAAATAGAGATGCTAAACGCGCGCGAAAACAGAGCTAGCGCGTGTGTCAGTGGATTCTGTAGAGGAAGAAGCTTGGCCAGAAGCTCATTTCCCAATTCGCGCTCATCTGCATTACAAGATGCAATCGCAACTTCGCACTTCAAAGCACACGGTCCTCGAAAAACAGCGTGTCCTCGACGCATATCGTGCTGGTCGTCGCGACTGGCTAGCCGTGGCGGCTAGCAACGATATCCCACCCACCACCGCCTATAATTTGGTGCGACGCGGGCAAGCTACGGACCTTCCTCGTGGTGGACCAAGGCACGTCAAGATGACGCGAGAGGCCAAGGAATGCCACGAGAGATATCTCGATGACGACTGCACGTACACGCTGAACCAAATGCGTACCATGCTCTTTCTTGACTGCAACGTGAAGGTGCACACATCGACGATCAGTCGCCATTTGCTGAACTTGCTTTACACGTGAAGCAAGTTCGCATCGAGCCGACAGCATGCAACAGTGACGTGAATAAGGAGAAGCGTCGCGTGTTTGCAGAGAAACTGAAGGCGCACCAAAGTGACGGTAACTGTATTGGTTATTACGATGAGACTAACTATAACGTGTACCCGAAGCGACAACGAGGGCGCGCGCAGCGTGGACAGCGAGCTGTCGTAAAACTTCCTCCTTCAAGAGGAGCGAATCTGCAAATTCAATGTGCGGTGTCGTCAGCTATCGGGCTGGTGACCTACCGGCTTCAGCGCGGAAGCATACACATGGACAAGAACGCGGCCTTCGTAGAGGACATCTACGAAGCCGTTAAGGCTTCCGACGTGCTCCAGACCGGCTTCCAGAACAAGAAGATCGTGATAGTGCTGGACAACGCTCCTGCCCACCGCCAGACGGAGCGCCATGAAGCACCCGGACATGAAGCTGTTGCGATTGGGACCCTATTCCCCAATGTGCAATCCTATTGAAGGATGTTTCAGTGCGCTGAAGGCGCACATTAAAAACTATCTCGCGGTTTACCGCGAAGCGATTTGTGACCGCTCGCGAGAGCCTGATCACAACGGAGAAGTGTTGTCGCTTGCTGAGCGCCAAATGCGCATCCTGGAGCGCGCTGCGGAGAGCAACAAAAAGTTCATCACGCCGGCGTTGGTGGCGAACATGGAGCTGCACTGTCGCGACTCGGTGAATCGTGCTGCGGACGGTAACGAGATGGTGTACGGAATGTAATGTTTACGACATTGATTGCGGGATTTCCGACTTTGAATGCAGAATTGAAGTTGCTAAATCAATATTAGTAAAACTTTGACAAAAAGAAATTTGTGACTCTCGAGTTTGATTGCAGATTACTACGATGTTGGACGCACAAAGGTGTAGTGTATACTGATTAATGCAACGCTTCCTGTAGATATCTGAATTGTTGACGTGAACTTTCATTTATTTATACTTCAGCAAAATAATCATGGTAGTGGTACGAGTGGTACTGTACATGTAGGTACAGCCCTAAAGGGATTAATTCGAGATCATGTGCAGACACCAATAGTAGGTATCGATTCGACTCAAAACTTCGTCTTATTTTTCTACCAATTTTATTAAACTTCACAGGTTTTACTCCGCTGTAAAGGTTTAGCATGGGGTATAAACTGAGAGAAACTTGGTGTACGAAACAAAAACTATAGCTCCTCGACGTAAATGCTAGTGCGGTATTTTTTTTAGAATTTTTACCTTTTTCAGTTTTTCTTACACGGCTTAGTTTTGTGCAAGAATATCACTGTTAGTGGTCGACATTAATAGCTATAAAGAGGTATGTAAACAAGGCTGTCGAGGCCGTTGAGGTGTGTCGAGCGGCAGAAGGGTAGGATCTGAAGACTGGAAGTCCAATGAGAGCGCCGCCAGGCAGCACAGCATCATCCGTCTCCCTTTCGCCCTTGCTCGGTTGAAGTTGCAGTGGTTTCAACGCCTTGCCGCTGCCACTTGATGCAGCATCGAGACGCTGAGCAGGGACCCCGATAAATATATTTATTGCCAATTACTGTTTATTGTTTCTCTCAATACTTTACTTATGAAAAAGGCTTCAGCAAAATATGTATTTACGAAGTTGGTGACCCACGACCCAAAACTTAATCTCCCGGACAACAACAACCAACAGTTTGTGGTTGGTTTGGAGCCCCTCGACTTCTCCGAAGCGCATATTCTAGCTCGTTCTGCAACTTCCCGAGAGCACCCCAACAAAACCTACTCTCTTCTTTCACCACCGTGGACGCTTGCATTTAAGCGGCTTCACCCAGGCTAGGTAGTTTATTTCACTAAAAATCTACGTTTGCAATGTCCCCGCTCGTATTATCTATTTGCTGAGCTCTTAGGTTGCCGCGCGTTATGTATTTCTCGATGTCCTTTGAAATTGATATAAATTATATTTTCGGGTTCGTATGTGTGCGGACAGCGTGTCGAGCTCCGCTGGCCTACTGTTATCTTTGAGGTTGAACTTGCCTGTGCCCAGTCGCATTATACGGAAGACAAACATTACCTATATGGTCGTTAGATGTATACTGTGTGTATAACGAGGGGGCTGTCATCCGCGAGGTTTCCTCCTCAATCCCAATTATTCTCTGTGGGAACCGGAGTGTTATTCTTTGTCGTTTAAGCTATTGGCTCGTGTGCATTCACTCGCACTGAATTAACAATAGGTTATGAGCCCAATTGCGTTAGGAGCCTGTCGTGAGTGCCATGAGTGGTGAGGGCAAGAGCAGCACATCACCAACGGCCCTGTCTCCGGGAAGTACTGGTGTGGGAATCTCGACAGCTACGACGACTACTTCGCAGCAAGTCACGACCCCTGGAATGGCTACTACGCTGTCATCGCACGCTACGCAAACTAACAGCAAGACTGGAGTCTCTGTTGGTGGGACCGGTGTAGGCCATAATTCCGGTGGTGTAGTGAGGGTTGGCGAGGGATGGAAATCGAGTGTGGGATTTGCTTCAACAAGTGGATTTAGCAGGAGTAGCTTTGCTAGTGAGATAGCTTCCTCACTCGGCAGTAACCTCGGTGCTGCTGGATATTTTGGTGGCTCTGCATCTGGAGGAATGCACCCATTTGATGGGACCGAAGCTACAAACTCGGGTGTGCCTCGAGCTGGTGCTGTGTCGGTGTTGAAGCTGGGTATCTCGCACAAGCCTCCAACCATGAAAGGGGGTTTCGATTTGTATGCTGTCCAGCTGCGTGCGTTTCTGACAAGGTTGGATTGCTGGTCGGTAGTGGACGGCTCGTATCGAAATCACCTTCAAACGATGAATAATATAGCTGCAAAGGACAATGCTGCTCGTGAAGCCACCTTGTACGGCGTACCTGCTGCTGACGCCGAGATGATTTGTCAGGAGGTGACGGCGGAGGCGATGTGGAATCGGCTCGTGGACAGACAGACTAAAAGAGAATACTCAAACTACATCTTTGCTCGTGATGAGTTTGTGTCAAATCGTTTCACATATAGAGCAATGGCTAAGGCAAATGGAAACTTTGCGTCGCCGGCTTCATCATTTTCGCAAGAGCATTTCAGATGAAGATTATGCAGAGACGTTACTCGGTCATGTATCCTGTACTCACCGAGAGGTAGTGCGTCAATTTTCAAAGCATTATGTGGTTCGTGATGGAATGACTGTACGTCCTGTTCCTACTTCGGCTCAAGTGATCAATGCGTTGATGGCTGAGCCGGCGCTTGACGAACGAGTGGCGCATGAGGAAGAGATGAAGCCTGCCCATATTTGTTCGTGTGGAAAGCAACCTCAGAGTGAATCTCAGAAGCCCAAGCCTCAACAGAATCAAGACAAGGGTAAACAGCAGAAAAGCAAAGGTCGCTATAAGGTCAAGCCAAAACAAGGAGGTCAACCACAGGGAAAGAAGGTAGAAACTCGCACTTGTCATAAGTGTGGAAAAGTTGGTCATTTGAGGGCAACTTGTCCAAATCGGAATGACAGTGAGGAGGACAAGCCTGCAACTTCGGAGTTCAAGAAGTGGCAAGGAAATAATTAGCGGGGTAATGTTAATGACAAGCGTGGGCGCAAAGGCGCGAGTGCTTTGTGCTGGCATGTGCGGGGAGTGCCTGCTGCTTCTACCTCAATTACCAAGACTTCTACTGGTGTTGAAATGGAGTGGGTGCTCGATTCGGCCAGCGACGTGCATGTCTGTAAAGAGTGTTCGCTTTAGCACAATGTGCGGGTGGATAACGTGCACTTCTTCCAAGGGTATGATGGGAAGGCTAATGAAAATGAGCAAGTTGGTGATGTAACTTTGCGGGTGAAAAATAATAAGTCCCCACACGCAGAGTTAATGTTGCCATTCAAAAGTGTCTTGTTCTCGCAATCTGCCCCGGACAACTTGTTGAGTATGGATTTGTTGGAATTAGACGGATGGACAGTGAAGTTTGGTCGGATCAATTCTCAGTCGGTGTGCTGGCTACGCAAATACTACAATGAACTATTTCTAGTGAAGAGCAACCGCCGTTATCGTCTGAAAGCAACTGCTGTTGTCACCTACAGTGTTCCGTCGATACAGACTGGTGAATTGAGTTCTCAAAGTAAGTTGAAACAGATTGTGTCGCCCAAGAAGACCAGCGCTGCGTCGCTTGAAAGATGGCATTTGCGTTATGCTCATCTGAACTTTGTAACTTTGCAACAAATGGCTTCGCAGAGGAGTTGCTGGTGGCAT